TGGCTAGAAAACGCTACAGCACTGGCAATAGTCCTGCTGGAGCAGGATGCTGGACTAGACTTCGGAGGTGTCTTCCAGCCGGCATTTTTATGATATTCTTTAATATCCTCTCTAGCTTTTATTGGAGTGGAAAGTATTTCATCTTGACTGGCTACACATCCAGACTCTTTTTGATTATAGGATGGATTTATTGATTGGAAAACTCCTGCTTACGCTGTGTTGCTATTGAAAGCCAGGTCGTAATCATTTGCACAGGTGTGCCAGGAGATGAGAGCATGGGCAATCACAGTGAGCAGCTTTGGAGAAGGGAGAGAATACGTAGCTTTAAAAATCTTTTTCAAAATCACTTTCTGAACAGTGATACAGGATATAATACACAAAAATTTCTGTTAATACTGCAAGGAATGGTTTGGTTTTGACACATACACAAACCCATGCTGTGCCGGCTCATGGCCACTTCTCAGTGCACGCTGGTTGCCATCAGCCCAGGGGAGCACACCAATTAGCCTGATTTAAGTACTCAGTGGGAGATACTGCAGAAGGCGAAAGCACAGCCCAGACAGTGGAAAGGTAAATATGCCGGGAGCTTGTCCGTCTGTTGTTTGTTTGTACTGCAGGTACAGAGACATAGCAATTATGTTCTACATCATGGTGCCAACCTGAGAGCTGGCAGATGAACGTGAAAGCAGAAGGGAGTCTGTAGTGTGCTGGGAGCTGCACAGCCCCGGGCTACCTGTGGGGATGAGGCCGTGAGGTTCCTGGCTCTGAGCCTACCCACAGCTGTGTGGGGAATTAGAAGGGGAGAGAGGAGGGACATTGCAAACTGGGGAGCAGAGAAACACAAGTGGCAGTGGACCAGAGATGAAACCTACTCTGCTGTGTAGAGGGAGACTGTGGTGGAGGGAGGCTTGCTGCACAGTGACTCCTTTTCAGTCCCCCATGAAGGGTAAGGGGTGCCAGGAGTGCCTTGCCTGAGCAGAAGACAGCCAGGCAAGGGTCGGTCCTTCAAGGGAGCATGAGGCCCCATCCAGCTGTCATGTGAAAGCAGGCAGGACTGCTCTGAGGGATATTTGGTGTCTTCTGAGGCCTGCTCCTGCACGAGGACTGCATGAATGAACTGGAAAACAGATCTTGTCATCTCCACTCATTTTTACTGTCAGTTGGCGTGAAGCAGCAGGCCAGCATACTCCTAAACTGCAGATGGGAATGGAAACATGAGCAAAAGCTGCTGAAGCACAGAGCAGAGCGTGATGTGTAACGCATGCGGATGCACATCTGTCTGCAGAGCTGGGGAAGTGATTCTGGCATATGCGTTTGGGCCTCGGCGGGTAGGAGTGTTTGAGTGATGTGCAGCATGGTTCCTGTGTTTGGGAGGTTGTTAAGACAATTAAGAGACTGAGCGGCAAACGAGCTTTGTCTGGAGGGCTGGCTTGGTGTATGGCCCTGAAGGGTCCTTGGGGAGCAGGTCCTCGGCCATCAAGAACTTGCTGCAGTGTTTTGACAGTGCAGGGCTGAGGTTTTCTGTTGTCTGTAGCATGTTGGTGCCCAGCAAAGGGGTATTTATGCCATCTCTATTTAAAGAGAGCCTGGAATTTAAGAAGCTAGTTTCAGCTTCAGGGTTTTGGGGCTCTTGGGGGGCTTTAAAACTCCCAGAGCTTCTCTGTGGTGCCTGTCACCAAAATTTTCATCTCCCTGGTGCGACTGCTTCACCTAACACAAGCTGAGCAAACCTCAAGAGTGCACAGCCTGTACTTACCAAGACCCTTGGGCTGCTGCGAGGGAAAATAGGCTCTTAATTCGAAAAGCAAGGAAGGTACCTGGGCCTCTGATGCAGAGCTGTGACGAAGGGCAGCGTAGATCCAAGTAAGAGAGGGCAGAAGTAAATCTGCCACTGCCTAACTGCTCAAGGCTCGCTGGCACTCGTGGTTCCTTGCTTTCTGGCGTTAAAACCATGCTGAAAATTGGCAGTCTCAGGAAACATTCCTGGTTAGGAAACCTTTTGATACAAGGAGGACCTTTGCAAAACTCCGAGGGGGAGTGTCCTGCTTTTCCTGGGGATTTCTGTGCTAGGCATGACTGAGGATTTAATTCACTTTCATGTAAATGAGAGGGACAACCCAAACACCTTCTGGTTTGTGTTCCATGGGAGAAGAAACCTTGAGGGTGGCAGTATCAGTTGGTGCTAGCATGCATTTACTTCTGGCCCACGTGCCTCTCTTGCTTTCCTTCCCCGCAGACTGCTGCACTATTTCCGAGGCCGGCACCATTTAGAGGAGATCATGTACAACGAGAACATGCGTCGCTCCCAGCTGCTGATGCTGTTTGACAAATTCCGCAGCGTGCTGGTGGTGACCAGCCACGAGGACCCTGTCATTTCAGTTTTCCAGTCCCTCTTAAAATGACTCTACTGGCAAAGGAAGGGAAACTGCTACGCTCTTCACACTGATGGTCTGATAGTGGTCTAAAAACTAAAGGAGGTGAATTCAGTTCCTTCTTGCCACGTGACACAGCAGGTTCCCCCCCTCTGTGCCTCAATTTTCCATCTGCTCCCTGTGCTGACAGCTGAGGCCGGTCTGTGCGAGGGCTCTGGGGCCTGTGGCAGGACAGTGCGCGCTTGCTCAGCCTGGATTCCTGCCGTGCCAAATTCACAGCATGGGAGCTGCTGGTTCACAGCCTTTCCCTCACCCTGCTCCCTCCCCAGGGTTTGTGAGAGTGGGCCAAGAAGATTTCCACTGCAGTGTTCCTGACAGAACTGCACCTTTGGGTGGACGCTGGTGCATCAGAAGTGCTTTCTCCGCTCTCCGACAGTACGACTGCTGGGTCCTTCAGCCACGAGCACCGCTTGTGAACAGCATGTCCCCACAGCAGAGCACTCTTGGCTTTTAGGGAAGTGTCCCTGGGTGCTGAGGAATTCTGTTTGATCATCGTTATCTGTCAGCAGTGAGGACACAGGTAGGAAGACAAAGTAGCACAAGTAAACGGTTTCATGGATGAGAATAACTTGCTCATTGTGTTATGTCTTATTATTTGTTAAGTATACTTATTACTAAGTGTCTATTGGAGCCTGGCTGTCACCAAACAGCTCACGTGTCTGTGGGTTTGCAGGGTTTCCAGTTTGGTACTGGGGGGAGGAGCGTGGTTGTTGAGCAGAACTCAGATTGGCTGGCCAAGCTGCACAGTGCACGGCCATGCCAGTTCCACGCAGCCGTCCTGGTGCTGGGGGCACTCACGCTTCTTCCCCAGGGTGTGTTTTGTTCCTCCACTCCCCTCCCTGCAAGCACAGCTGTGACTGCAGGGACCCAGACTGGGGACCTGGCCTAGCTGACCGCTCTCCAGCTGAAACACAAGGTACAGCTCTGTATGTGGCTGTGTTTCCTGATCTGGTTCAGGACTGCTCCTCCAGCTGTGCTGGGGCTGGAACAAGAGGTAACAGCCCTGCTTCTGGGGACAGCAAGAACTTATGCCAGCTCACACCTGGTCTGTGTGAGGGCACAGTTCCCCACAGCTGCTCACTGCTCTGTACTGTATACCTTGGGAAGGGGTGAGGAGACTTTTACCTCCCTGGTAGCTGCTCCCAGGGGTGGGTGTTGTTAAAAGAGTGCCAGGCTCCTCCTTAAAACTTTCCCTTATGCTACACACACAAGCTGGAGTTTTTCCCAGAGTTGCACGCTCTCACAGAGCAGCTTCACTTGCCCACACAAACCAGATGAAACTGTGAGCTTTATATAACTTATGTACCACCAGCAAGGCACAGTTGTGCTGCAGGACCACAGTGTCCACCGTGCATCAGATACCTGATAGCAGCCACTTACTCATGGTCCCTTCTGTGAGTCTTCCCCCGCAGCTGCAGGCAGGGGTGCTACAGAAGAGCAAAAGCAATACCCAACCTCAAAAAATCATTGCTGCAGGGCCCCAGTCCCAACCAGCCCCCAGAAACTGTGGCTACTGTGAGCTACTGAGACTGGCATAAAAAGGGCTGCTCAGAAGAGACCAAACAAGATACTTTTCATTTGATTTGATGGGGACAAGGGATTTGAAAACCCTGAGCTTTTTCCTCAGATGTGAATCCTACGGTGAGGGTGTGGTGGGGATGTGTGTCTCCATCACCCTTCAAACTGCCTGCAGTTTCTGCCCCAAATCCTAGAGAGTTTTTTCACCCCCTGTGCCTCAAGGCATGCTGCACCATCACAGAAATTTCAGAATTGGTGCTTTCCTCTGTGTTGGGGTTCACACACTGATACATTTTAAACCGGTCTCAAAAGCAGCTGGGAAAACAAACAGAACACATTCTTGTTCTCCAAGCTGGATGTTACAGACTGAGATAGTTTGGAAGGGGTCTCTGGAGCTCTTTTGTCCAAACCGCTGCTCAAAGAAAATGTGTTAAATTGGGTCACTCAGGAGCTTGTTTAGTGGAGCTTGAATGTCTCCAAGGACAAAGCCGCAGCTTCTCCAGGCAGTTCCAGTGTTTGACTACCCTCATGGTGATTTTTTTTTCCATACAGCTACTGAGAATTTCCTGTTTTCCACCTTGTGCCCATTCCCTTTCATCCTGTCTTACAAAAGTCTGGCTCTGTCTTCTCTGCACCTTCCTGGTAGGTGCAGACAACAGTAAGATCCCTCCTTTGCGTCCTCTTCTCCAGGCTGATCAAACCCAGCTCTCACAATTTCAGTCAGCCCTGCTGCCATTCAGTATTTCGACTGTTCTCCTGCAGAAACCAAGTGATGGCCTCTACTCTGGGCCAGCAGCACTGGGACCCCACAGCAGGTCCGAGCTGTGAACCTTCACCACTCATCCACCTTAACTGAGCCTGGATCCATTCACAAGGGGAAAAAATGGCCTTCAACATCCATACCCCACCTCAGTTCTGCCTGAGAGACCCATGCCAGTCTGCCCCACAAATAAAATTTCACCCTGGCTCAATCATAGTGATAAAGTCCATTTATTGTTAAAAACTTGAGCACAGCTCAAGTCCTGGCCAGTAGCACATCTGCAAGACTTATCAGCTGCAAGAGATGTGTCCCGTTGCTGCCATCTCTTTCTCTGTTTTCTTGTCTACTACACTTACAAATTTGTTTCCTCGTAAGTAAAACCTGAGTGGTTTCTGTGCCCATTCTCCCCTGTTGCCAATACCAATCCTTGTCGTGGCTACCACGTCCTGCTCCTCTGGTGGGTCGTGGCCAGGCACCATCCAGATGGCTGCATCTTGAGTCAAGTCCTTTTGGTCAAAAGCCTTATCAATCCCAAATGCTTGGCAGAGCTTGGAGGGCCCATTACACAGCTGCCAGTCCTTCAGTGGCTTTGTGGGTCCTTTCCTCGAAGTGCTGCGCAGCTCCCTCATTGCTTCTAAACCCTGAAGAGGCTCCAAAGAGCGAAGTAAGACTGCAGCCCCTTCCCCTGTGCAGAACAAGAACTGTGTGTTAGTACAGGGCTGCTCATCACAAATGTCTCAGCTTTCAGCCCCACCGCCAGCAGAAGCGCTTCAGCTCCGAGCCTGTGGCTCAGCTTAGCCTGATGGGGCAGGGAACTGCCTGCAGTGCACTGTCATAGCGTTTGTCCTTCTCTTAAGCCACTTCACTTCAAGTGCCAAGCTCTGGAGTCAGCTGCTCACCTGTGGTCAGGGCACTCCTTCCCTCATCTGAATGTCCCATAGCTCTGTGGCCTTTACTCATCAGTGCTGATGTGCACTTCCCCACCTCCACTTCTTGATGTTATTAAGTCTAGCTGCTGCTCCAAGGCTTGCCAGAGGGCAAGAGGTTTTTCTTATGTCAGCACAATCTTCAGGAATAAATACTCATATGGTTCAGTTTTGGCACAGCTATCCAAAGCTGCTCCCAGACCCAGTGGATTTATAATAAACTCTGATTACAAGAACTCCAGCTAACAAAGGAGAGGAGGAATGAGTGGATGCTGCCAGCAGAAAGAGGCAGTTTGCAGAGTTAGACTGGACAAAAAGAGACCAGGGAAGGAGCTGCAGGCACTGGGAGCAGCCACTGCCTGTGCTGCTGCTGAGGGAGCCCTGGCTGCCCGTGTAACCAGTTCAAACACCTACTTGAAGGTGTCACAGCAGGACGGGTGACCGTGGCTTTGGGTAACTGCAGAGCGACAAGAGCGATCGGAACCCTTGTGCCAGGGAAGCTCTTGCAGGACAGGGATGCAGAGTCTGTGGCTGCAGGATGCACGGCCCTGGGAACATCACTGCAGCAGATAAAACCCTTATAGAATAGTCTGGGTTGGAAGGGACCTTAAAGCTCATCCGGTCCAACCCCCCTGCCATGGGCAGGGACACCTCCCACCAGACCAGGCTGCTCCCAGCCCCGTCCAACCTGACCTTGAACATTTCCAGGCAGGGGCCATCCACCACTTCCCTGGGCAACCTGTGCCAGTGTCTCACCACCCTCACAGTAAAGAATTTCTGCCTAATATCCAGTCTAAATCTCCCCTCTTCCAGTTTAAAACCATTCCCCCTCAGTCTATCGCTACCTGCCCTTGTAAAGAGTCCCTCCCCAGCTTTCCTGTAGGACCCCTTCAGGAACTGGAAGGCCACAATAACGTCCCCGCAGAGCCTTCTCTTTTCCAGGCGGAACAGCCCCAACTCTCTCAGTTGGTCAAGACAAAAAATGAGAAAACAGATTTTCTTCTTAAATGTGACCTGTCACCCTGTCAGGAGCCTTAGGAAACTCCAGCCCCCCACAGCTGTTGTGACTGTGATTTTGGCAACAGTGAAGCAAAGATGCAGCTCTAAGCACAGACGTGCCCCCGTGACAAGGAGCTCCAGCCTAAGGGGGACATAAGCAGTTCCTTGGTATTTTCCACTGGACAGCAGGGAAGGTCTTCTCATGACCTTGAGTGGGTAAGGAGAGAGCCTGGTAGGGCAGTCTGTGTGTTTCTCCCCACCAGCATCTGCGTGCTCAGTGATGCCACTCTGCAAGAATCCCCTCTGCGGCCTCAAACATCTGGAGCCATGCACAAGCCCGGCAAAGGCTTTTTTTGTAGGCACTAACAGATCCCAAAGGACCTGTGATTTCCAAAAATAGAACCCCTCTCATTCTGTACAAATCCCACACTGAATTACCCTCCTAGGCTCCCATCCCCACCAGCATCTGCGTGCTCAGTGATGCCACTCTGCAAGAATCCCCTCTGCGGCCTCAAACATCTGGAGCCATGCACAAGCCCGGCAAAGGCTTTTTTTGTAGGCACTAACAGATCCCAAAGGACCTGTGATTTCCAAAAATAGAACCCCTCTCATTCTGTACAAATCCCACACTGAATTACCCTCCTAGGCTCCCAGCTGAGCCTATCAACTGAGGACCTGATTTCTGGCTTTGTGAGGTGCACCTCTTGTCCTGAACCTGCTCAGAGCCCCCGCTGCCCTCAGTCCAGCTCACTGAAGTCAACAGCCTTACTGCCAGCAGCTGTCAGCAATCTGTTCCCAGGCACTTCTTTCTCTGAGGAAGGGGATTGGTGCTAATCTGGCAGCCAAAAGCTGCTTCCCTGTACTACAGTGATTTAGAGCTCAAAGGTCATTTTAGATTTTTAAGATCATGCTTTCTGTCCTAATTCTGTTTTTCATCCATGCACAAAGAAACATCCTTCGCATTGGGACGCTGCTTCACTTGTCAGGAACAACTGTGGGATTCTGAGCAATCACTAATTACACTACATGCCTTCATCCATCACAAATGCAAGTGGAAACTGTGGTTACACTTGAACGGAGTCCCTGGGAGTTCACATGAAGAGACGAGCACGCAGAGAAACTGCGGGTGCTCCGAGTGCATCTGCGCAGCCGTGGCAGGGGGTACCTGGCATTTTTGTCTCTTGGTGCTCTTTCTGCATTTCCACAAGAAAGTTCACGCTCTTTCTAGCTATGTGCAACACAGACACCGTGCTCTGCTCCGAGCCAGCAGCCCCTGAATGTGAGAACACACCACAGGAGCTTTGGGAAGAGGTGGGGACAGCAGGCAGAGTGCAGGGATGCCATGATAAGCCACAGCCTTTTCTGCCCCTACCTGTTCCTGCACCCCTGGGCTGACTTTTGGTCCTGCTGAGTGCACCTGCACATCAGAGGTTTTACTTTAACTACCTTCTGGATCATCTCCTGCCTGCCAGGGTGTCTCAGCCTGCTGTCCTCCCTCTCTGCAGCCTGCAGCAGTTCACTGGCTATCTGGCTTCAGCATCTGCCCGACACAAACATGGCCACTGACACGCCATCAGCAGCAGTGCCAGTCCAGAGATGCTGAATATCTCCCTCCCATGCCTAACAGAGTCACTCCATGTAGCAAGTAGCATTTGGAGCTAAAAGCTGGGATCTAACAATGACGCAGAGGCCAATTCTCTCTCTGAACAGCTAGAAATCCTAAAATGATAGGGAAGTCCCATACCCCCACTGTGCAGTTTGCTGCTCCTTCTGTGGAATGGCTCCAGCTCTCACTCTTGGAAGCAGCTCTTGGCCACCAGAGAGAATAACATTTTCTCCTCTCTCCACCCATCTGACTCACTGCTCCTGAAACATTTCCTTCAAAGCCCAAGTCTAGGGTCTGAAAGTTAGGTGCACGTCCACACTGTGACCCTGGGCCTGCGGATCTCAGTTACCGGGTTCTCAGTTTTACAGGCTGTTCTTTCAGATGTGGCAGCGATACATACACCTTGGCAAATTCCAGAGAAACAAATCACAGCAAGTCAGTGAGAAGCCTGACTGGCATTTATCCTCTTCCCAAAGTAAGGGAAGCCCAATGTTTCTCTTAACCCTAGAGAGAGCTCTCTGTACCAAGATTATTGTGCTGCTGCCAGGATATTGAGTAGAATTCATGCACACTGGAGCATGCTGGTTACATATTTCTATAAACCCTTATTCCTCGATCATCAATGATTTATAAAAACAACCCCAATGTAGTGCCTGCCATGGCTTCAGGCATTACCAAGTAATGGCAAGACCTCTCGCATTAAAATCCCACACAATACAGCTCTGTCTTGGTGATAGGCATAAACATTTTCCCTTCCTCAGTGACAAAATATCTGAGACCACCCTTCAGCTCATTATGTTTGAACACAGAGATGCAGTCAAGGGAACTCGACTGAACCTGCCAAAAGCCACAACTTCTTGCCCCAGCAAAGTGGCAAAACAAGAGGCTACTGCTGAAGTGTGTCTGGTGTCTGGGGGCAGCATCAGGCTGGGCTGGGGACTCGCTGCTGAGGACACTGCAGTGGTGGTGGCTCTCAAGGCAAGGTTTTTGATTTGGTAGCCTCTCTGCCAGTGACACATCTTTTCCTCTCTCTGAGTGGCACCACTGACCCTGAAGTCCAGCATAAGCCAAATACAGAAAACAGAAGAGAATGTTTATCCTACCTTGTATTAAAACACGATGCAACAAGGTTACATATCAAAACGAGAGCTCTAAAAAGCCAGAGTCTCAGGAGCCAAATACCCCATTCTTGACAAGCTAAGCAGAAGGGAACAAGTACAAGCCACACAGAAAGCTTTGCACATCTCATCTAGGCCTCAGATTCTGAGCTGATTAAGGACATAGAAGGCCCCAGCATGATTCAAGTCAGCATTAAACAACTTTTTAAAACAAAGTCTGCTGCAACAGTCCAACTCCTGCTGCTTGCCTGGTCCCACAGCAGCACGTGTCTGAGACAGCCCCGTGCAGTGTCTGTGCCAAGAAGGTAGCAAAATGCAGGCAAGGCAGGGACAGCACAGCACGATGATCTCTTTCCAGTAAAAGGACGACTGCTTTCATCAAACCAGTGGCTCCCAATCGGCTCTGTGGCCACTCAGTTCAAGAGTCTGAGAAGCAGCAGGGCAGCAGTCACTGCCAGTGCGTAAGAACCACTTGCCTTCCTCCCACAAGGATCCTGTAATTTAAGCAGCACAAGGAGCTGGCTACACTACAGAATTAGACACTTTAATCCAAGCCAACTAAGAACGCATTTGTGATTATTAGTTTGTGCTAACTTTAATAAACCACCTAAAACCACACTAGATCTCATTTAAATCTATGTGGTTGTTCTAACAGTCTCCAGAACTGAATGCTTCATTAAAAATCAGTGTATGATTGCATGAGTATCTTGATGCAAACCACCGATGGCCATACAGAAATATCTTTCAAAAGTATTTTGGAAAGTCTCTAGAGTTTTTAGAATTTCTCCTGAAATCAACCTCTAGTTTTCCCCTAATTCTTCACTATGAACTTTGCTAACATGCACCCAGGTCAAAATTGAAATGAGGTCAACTTGTGTGTGTTTGAAAACATCAGGGAACCCCCAACAACCATTCCCCTTCTCCACTGCTCCAGTTTGCTGCAGCAATGCCATGCAGTGTTCCCAGATGTAAACTGCAGCTACTCATACCAAGCAAGTTGCTCAGCTGTCCTGAAAACCTGTGCGCATGTCCAGACTTGTTCTGCACCTCCCCTCCATCTGCAGAAAGATACAACAAAACCGGAAGAGATTCAGGGACAGGCAGCCAGGATGATCCAAGTTAGGGACTAGTTTTGGAGCAAAAGCCTAAGGGAAGAATAACATAAGCAGTCTAGAAACCTTCAGCTTGGAAGACACTCAAGGAAGGGCTATCAAAGATCCTGAGAGATCACGGGAGGCAGAAGGTGATATATGGGAACAGATGCAATCATCCCATGTTCTCCACTGTTTAACTCCTGGTGCTCTGCAGCTTTGCACTGCCAAAATCCAACCAGAGTGATGCAGCTCAGGGCCATCACTGGAGATGCAGCCTTTGAAAAGGAAAAGCATTTAGTGTTTGCT